TAATTTTAAATGTTTCTTATGCTTCTCCTTGGTTTTAGAGAAGATAAGTATATCATCAATATAAACTATACAACAATCTTTAAGGTCTTTAAAAATTGTATCCATCCACCGTTGAAATACCTGTGGTGCAATATTTAACCCAAAAGGCATAACATTCCAGTGGTAATGTCCTCAAGGTGTACTGAAAGCTGTCAATTTTTTTGACTCTTCAGTTAATTGAATTTGCCAAAATCCACTTTTACAATCAAATTTGCTAAAGATTTTTGATCCTTTGGTTAAGTTAATCAAAACATCTTTTCGTGGAATAAAATATCCATCAAATTCTAAATTTTCATTTAGTCGTTTATAGTTGACTACCATTTGGGCTTTTCCTCTTTTAATTTTAGAATGGTTTCTTACCATAAAAGCTGGACTAGGGTGAGGGCTTTTAGTTTCTTCAATTAACTTTTTGTCTAAAAGTTCCTGGAGTTGAATATCAAATTCATCTATATCTTGTCTAGTATAGATCATTGGTCTTACTCTAATGATAACATTAGGGTCTTTCAATTTTAAATTACAATAACGTGGACTACCTTGCCATAGTTTTAATGGATCTTCACTAAAATTTTATTCTAAAATTTTATAAATCCAATGTGATTCATCAATAGTTTTGATGATGGGAGTTAAATCACCACGCGGTACGGGCGCAAACTCTTTATCACAAATATATTTATGTTGTTCTAACAAGGGAATATGAATTAAGACATTGTTTATGCTTAATGAAATAGCTTTTTCCTGTATTTGCATTGGAATGTATTTATATATAAAATTATTGCCAAGAAGGAAATCTCCATGCATATACGGAAAACATAAAATCTTTGATATAATGAACTTGCTATCATTTAACCAAATAGCTATATTTTTAGCCTCGAATTGTATGGAAGTATGGTTGCCATCAATTCCAGTAATCAAAATTGGATGCTTCATTAGTGTCCATTTTTGTTTTGGTATGGCATTCCATTTATATGAGCTGACTGTAGCTCATGTATCTATGAAAACACTGAGGCTATAGGGTTTGTAACCTGCAAAATTAAATATTCCCAATACATACGTGTACATTCTTTTTCCTTGGTTAGGAGAAAAAAAAATATCATCATTTTTTATTTGAAAATGATACATATATGCAGACTTAATATGTTCAAGTATTTTTATTCCTGGAAAAATAGGAATCTGAACATTGTTTGGAGTAATATATTCTTGATTAGAATTATTACTTGATTCTCCATTGCTTAACTTTGAAAATGATTTGTTAGGAAAATTTTTTTCAAATACAGAAGTTGATCTTTTAATTTTTGGAACTGTATTTTCAATATATAAATTTTTTCCTGATGCCTGCATTTGTAATTGTGCAGGTTTTTTTGTTTTAGAAGATTCTCCTTGTCCCACTAGGTCTTGGATTAACCATTGTCGAGGGACTTCTAAATCGCTCCAATTCATTAGACAAGGTTGTATTACTGTGTCAAATGGTCTTGGTTCAAAGATTTCAACGATTTTATTAACGTTTGATTTTGTTTTTGTTTCAGGAAATTTGGTTAATTCGTGAATTGTTTTCTAACAAATAGCCAAACCATGAGAATTTGATTTCATTCGTAATCCTTGTGTCTTAATTCTTATTCTAACTGTATCTTAAAGATTAGAATCATTTATGGAAATAAAGAAATTTGGTCTAACATTAAACCAAACTACTCCATTATCCAAATTAGATTGAATTCCTCCAATGATTGCTTTCATTGAGTCGAAAAATCTTTTGTCAAAAATTACTGCCAAAATAGGAGTATCTATCCCTTGGCGAAATAAGACTGTTATGGTTACTTGAATTAATCCAATATGAATATATTGAATTTTAAGATATTTCTTTTTCCATCTTGCAACCTTTTTCTTATCAAAAAAAGGAATATCAATATTTCCTTCTTCTGACCATTTTGCTTGAGTGTTACCACTGTATTGTTCAAACACTCTTGCTGAAAAGAAGTTAAATTTTGAAAGTTTGTAAATTTCTGGAACAACAACTTCTTGTATTTTTTCGAATTTTGCTAATTCTTCGTCGGTAAAAGTTTTTTCTTCTCCGATTATATCTCCAAGTCGATTTGCCTGTAATTCTTCTTGAGATATACTATTTGTTTCTTGAGATATTTCTTGACTATTATTAGTCATCATGAAGATTAGTTCTTCATCTGAATTTTCTTCATCACTAGAAATTTCATATAAGATTTCTTCTTCATCAGAAATTTCTTCTCCATATATTATTTCAAAATCTTGTTCTTCAAAGACTTTGATTATTTTCTTTGCACTTTTTTCCCTTTTTGGACATTCAGGTGCATAGTGACCTTCTTCGTTACAAATGTAACATTTACAAGTTTTCTTTTTTGAAACGCTTGTTGGTTTCTTTTTTCGAATATACTTTTTCTTTTTTGAAAAAGTTTTGTTATTTTTCCAAGGTTTCCATTTATATTTTCTACGTTTTTTGGAAAATTCATTTCTTTTAGGAAATGTATTACAACCAATTTTCCAATTTCCTTTTAAAATTTTACCACAATATTTTTGATAGTATTGTGAGTTGGAAATTTGATTTTTTATTTATTTTTTCGCCTTTGTTTCTAGACACCGATCTGCTATTAGTCTTAAAACATAATTAATGCGAAAACCAAGATTATCATATTCTTCTTTCCCCATTTTTTTGAGAAAATCAGGATATGTTTTAATACATAACTCATCCCATGGATTAGGGAGTTTATGAAAAAATTGATCTAGCCAGGATTGATTTACTGGTGGATCAATAAGATAATAATATTTTTTAAAAGTTTGAGCATAGTCTTCAAACAGATAAATATTACATAATTCTAGTTTAGTCAAAATATAATTTGCATCTGCTTGCAAATTAGTATCTCCTTCAAAACCACATAAATTTTCTTTTATGATTTTTACAAATTCAGCTAAGATTGTGTAAAGTGTGAGAAAATTTGTTAACAAAGCCGTTTTTTGACTTTTTCCAATTTCAAATTTTTCCCACTGTCTTAACCATTGCAACACATCTCCCGGGAGAGTTGCTGCAATATAATCAAGGAATTTTTCCTTTGACCAACTATTTTTATAATTGGTAATAATGATGGACAAGGATTGTGCTTAATGAGAACTAACCCAATTCCAACTAATATTCAGTACACCAGCTATGCCTATTTATCAAAGGAATCAAATGAGAACTAACCTAGTTCTAACTAATATTTAGACATCTAAACTAGATGAATCTGAGATAAAGGATTTTTTCAATCCTGGTATATCCAGAGAAATTTATACAGAACTCAATGGAGTTTGGAAAACTCACATTGTAGACGACAAAGTAAAATTTCGAAAATACATGGGAGTTCTGGTTAACAAATTAGCTGAGCAAACAGTTAAATTAAAAGATTTGCAAAATCTTTGTTTCAATTTCTTAAACAAATGAATTGGAATAAAGATTTTAATTTTGAAAAAATAAACAATTTTCTTCAACTATCAGACCTCATATCAGATGAGTTTTCTGATTTAGTTTTTGAAAAAATAAAAAGAATTTGTCTTTTTGAAAAAGCAAGAACTTTACTTCCAAAAGAATTTTTTATGTTAATCAAAAATCGGGTTGAAGATCATCATGATAAGATTAAACAAATCTTAGAACGATCTTATGATAAATTAAATTTGAAAGATGGAATTTCCAAAATAACCATCATGGCAAACCATGACATGTGATTTTTTGAGGATATAGATTGGGGAATAACTAATCAAGTTATTTTTCAAATTTTAGATCCAATTCAATGGATAGATTATCCAATGATCATCAAAACAATGCTCTCATGGATAGTAAAAGGCTTTCGATGGAGCAAATATTTTACTTTTTGGATCTCTAGTACTGTTGGTTGGCGAGAACGAGAACATTTTTTCCAACCATACCAGATTTGGTATCTTAAAGAAACTGAAGATTTTGAATTTGAAGATGATTATTTAGATGAAGATCACCGGAGAGAGCGATTGGAAAATATCCAAAAACTTTCTTTGACAGAATATTTGATAGACAGTCTAATATTCGTTTCACAAGCAACGTCCAACATTCATGGCTCAGCAAAATTACCATTCATGGTTACAGATGGTAGAATATTATTTGTAACCCATTTCCCCATAACATATCAAAGGTCTCCTATACAAATTAATGAGGCTCTTGACATGTTAATAAATCTCAAAAAGAGAAATAATTTGGATCTTCCGTCGGAACTAGCCATGATCGCGGATGATGTAGAACATTTCCGGAATAACCAATACAGTCAAGATCCGGATTCCCCTCCATTAGAGATTGATAAAGAATATCACAATCTCATCAACAGGATGGAAGCATAGTGGACCCTACTATCAAATGCAGTTGTCTCCTGATCGACTCTAACCTTATCCAGGACACGTGGAGCAACCTGCATTATTAGGCGGAAAGTGATCAGCCACATCCTTTCAGCCACATCCTTTCAGCCGACGCTACATGACAAAGCAGCTTAGCCAAAGCTCTTTACGACAGTCTATCTCTTTGAAAACCGAGGATGGTAGACAGTGTATATTTTTTATAATTGTATTAGTGTATATAATTGTAGCAAACTGTAGCAAATAGCAAATAATTGTAGTCTTTCCTTCAACTATTTTTGTCTCTTTGTATTTATTTGAAGACTTTTTATAAAGCCTATGACTAGGCTTGGCTAGGGTGTTATAAATTTTGTAACTCTTGGCCGTAAAGTGTTGCCAAGTTAGATATGTTAGATATGCATTAAGTTTGATTTTGTTTGTATTCACCGTCTTATAGTCTATATATTGGCCTTTATGCCAACATAATGAAATATTTAAATTCTCTGCATATTCTCTCCATCTTTGAGTTTCGTCCTTTGTCTTTAATTTCTCTATCATAATTTCATAATAAAAATAGTAAAAAACTTCTTTCCATTTTTGTTTTGTAATTTTCCAGCGAATATACATATAGACACTATGTTTACATATATGGTATGTACAAGTCCGTCACTGCTGAGAGTACAAGTACGAACAACGAAGATCGTAGCTTGTGAGATCACGACCATGGCGACCGCATCGTCTGTTTATCAGAAACTTGTGAGCGTCGGGACTAAGATCGTCGCCGTCGGCCGCAACTACGCCGCTCACGCCAAAGAACTTGGCAACGCCGTTCCCAAGGTCCCCCTCCACTCTCTCTCATCAAATCTCCTTTCAGATCTAGAATTGAATTTTAATCGAGACAACAACAATTTACCTAGTTATTGTTAAATTCTAATGAATTCTATGAATATGTGCGTGTTTACAATGATGGGGGGGATCACCTTGGTTAATACTATATTAATTTGGCATAATTAATGGTATTAGCGATTAATTTTGTACAAATTATGCTGATTTGTCCCCTCTTTTTCTTTGTAACAAGTAATATCAGTAATAAGTAACCATAGTGGATACGATTCGATGAAAGAAAGAGAACAAAGAAGAAATGAATTGTAATTAATATTCATTATGCATGCAATGTTGTAATCTGATAAAATAGCTTGAATCTATGTTGAATTGGTTGGCGTACAAGTGCGTTTCGTTCTGATTAAAGTCAATAAAAAATAAAAAAAGAAGCAATTAGGGTCGGCTTTGAAAAAATTCTTACAAATTTTAAGTGGTCATAGTCTAGAATTTTAAAATCAGGGTTTGGCCTAGTGGTTGGGTTCTCATATTAAGAACAATTTGATATCTTTGTGGTGTTTATTTTTCTCTCATTATGAGGTTATATGTAGTTGTTGTTTGAGCTAGTGGTGGTAGTTGGTTTTCTAGCTATTGTTGAACTTTAATTGTCTAGCTTAATTCAATGTTTCTCATATCTGCAGTTACAAAATAATATAGTCTAAATTTATTATAAAAATAATAATAAATAAATAAATTATCTGGTAGCCTCTATATATATATATATATCTATTAAATATGGGATCTAAATTTTGAAAAAAAATAAAATAAAATTAAAAGAAGAAATTAATTTATGATAACTATTATCTATTGGAAACCTATTATGCAAATAATAGAAGAAAGTGGAGGAGTGGTTAGCTAGTTACTTGGTCACTTTTATTGAGGAATATATTGTTCAAGATTTTAATGTTGATTCTATGTTTTTAGCAACATGACAAAATGTAGTGTATGCATTGTCTTACCGTTGCTATTTTTTGTAATTCAACGGGGATGCAAAAATCCATGTTTATTCATATCGGTTCCGATTCGTAGCTCGAATTTTCTGTGGCTCGAAATCCCAAAACGACGTCGTTTTAGGATGTTTTTTGATTCTCTTACCGGTAAGATAATATTTTCCGTACTATTCAGGCCATTCGAGCCTCACTCTCTCGAGCTACGGAGCATTTTCCTATTCATATATTCTTTTCTCTATTATTAGTTTATACCTGTCGAAATTGATGTAGTAGCATACTTCCATTTAAGAATTTTTGCTAGTGTATACGTTGTAGTCCCTATGTTAAAATCCAGAGTCCATCTTACTTGTAAACATGTTTGTATGTATCTTTGGCAGGAACCAGTGTTGTTTATGAAGCCCACATCATCTTACTTGGAAAATGGAGGGACAATAGAGATTCCGCATCCATTGGAGTCACTGGATCATGAGGTGGAGCTCGCTGTTGTGATCAGTCAGAAAGCTCGCGATGTTTCTGAGGCCACTGCTATGGACTATGTTGGAGGTGTAGTTTCGATCTTTCATAGGAATATGTTCTACTAACTCAATTTCTCAACTCAATCTTAAAAATCAATGCTTCTACATAATAAGCATACTTAATTATGTCTCTGAATTCTGAGATATGTTTTCTAACACTCGATTCCATAATATACTTACAAATTTTATATATGAATACACTTATAACTGAGTTAGCCACTGTATCAGGATTGGTATTTCCTTGACTGCAAATAATTCTGTGATTATGAATAAAACATATACACAAGCAATCACAAATTCATGTTTTGAATGTTATTGGAACAATTAGGGGACAGTTACAGAAATTATGAACTTGCCTGTGACCTCTTCCGACATAGATCCCAACTATAACAGATTACATGGTGCTCTTATTGGGGAATTTGGTTGACTACACCAACGAATGGGGACATATCCTCTGCTTCTTCAGAGGTAGAAATTGGGAATTCACAAATCCTTATGTTCATAATATAGAGTGCAATGCTGTTTTCTGCAGCATGCTTGACATTTCTTGTATGGGATTTGTATTTTTTGCAAAACTTTTGTTTCAAATGTCATGTAGTAGATAGTAGAATTGTTAAGCTAATCACATGTTTGTCTTATAGTGTGTGCAACATGTACTCATGCATCTTGTCCTAAAAGTTCTATGGCTTAGTGCCCCATTTTACTCCTCCTGGGGAGTGTTATGGCTGATGGGTCTAATTCTTACTTGTCATGAGATTTATATAATTATTTTTGTGGGAAAAGGGATAAAACATTAGCATTGCCTATCAATATCAATAGCGTAGGCCACATGATTTCCTTTGTCGAATTTTACAGAACTTATTTAAGTAATAAATATCAACTCAGAGTAGACCTTCTGTCTAACAGGTTATGCACTTGCACTGGACATGACTGCAAGGGAAATTCAAGCTTCTGCAAAGGTGAAATGCCCCCCTTCCCCCCAAATTCTTTCTTTTTCCCTTTTAGGCTGCTCAAAATTCAGAAATTTTTATGCTTTTTATTTATAAGCATGAGGCTGTGAGTTGTGGGTTCCTCAACCTTGAGGTTGCGGCTTCGAGGACAACCATTTAGTGCAAATAATGCTGAAGGTTAGGTAACCCAATCTATACCCTCCCAGACCCCTATCCAATGGAGGCTAAATTGGGCTTACTTTTTTTAAAATTTATTTATAAGCATGAAAAAGATCACTCTTTGTGGAGTCAATGCAATGCATAGCAACTTTCAAAAGGTTGCTAGGAATCTTAATAGATGCAGAACATGGATGCATGGTCAATGAATGATATAGTTCTGCTGGAGTTGGATGCTTAATCCATTTGTGTGTGTGTGTGTTTTTTTTCTTTTTTTTTTAACCTGGTTTTCCTATGAAGTGGTAATTTTTGTTCCTTTCCTTTATTTCTCCAAAAAGAACTATATCTGTGCTTGTCTCAATCATTCCTTTTCTTTTCTGATAATGTTGTCTCTTTTTTCATTCATATGCCAGTCTGCAGGTCTTCCTTGGACTAAAGCTAAAGGGCAGGACACCTTCACACCAATTAGTTCTGTTGTAAGAAACTAACTACAGTCTTGTGTAGTCTTGTTTATTTTCTTAGATTGTTTTACTTCCAATTTCATTTTGAAGTTTGATTACTGAGAAATTAAAATCAGACTGGGTGGTGTCATGTCTACATGGACTAAATGAATAGGGGCTTCAGGTATTTAGTTGCAGGCTTGCAGCCAAGGCATGAAGAATTAGTAAAGTGGATATATTTAGTTTCATGAGTCTTCCAACTTACTATATTAGTTGATAGCCAAAATTTATTTATGCAGATACCCAGATCAATTGTGCCAGATCCAGACGACTTAGAATTGTGGCTAAAGGTATCATTTTTCGTAGTTCCTTTTGTTTCTTGTGCCTTTTGTTTCTTAAATTTATTTTAGTACTTCCAAACTGATTGCTGAATGCTTGTTCTTCTTCTCAGGTAGATGGAGAAATTCGACAGAAAGGCTCAACCAAGGATATGATATTTAAGATCCCTTATTTGATTAGCCACATAAGCTCTATCATGACACTTCTTGAAGGAGATGTTATTCTAACAGGTACCATGGAGTTTTTTTTTTTTTTTTTGGCTTCATGGTATTTCCAAACGTTTTTTCAGATATAAAACTCAGCACATTGAGCTCTTAAAAGCAGTTTGCCAGGTCCTTTTAGAAATTCCAAGGCAAAAAAAGAAAAGAAAAAGAAAAGAAAATAAAAAAGAACAGTTTATGCATTTGATTTTGTTTGTGCAGGCACACCCCAAGGCGTTGGTCCTGTCAAAGCAGGCCAAAAGATAACTGCTGGCATAACAGACCTTTTGGATGTTCACTTCGATGTTGGAAAACGCCAAAGGCCCCAGATAAATTGAGCTAGAGGCATCGACTACACACTGCGGTTCTCACATAGCGTTCTAATATGCTGCAACCCTTCAATTCTGAGGTCAACATGGTGGTTGATACCAGGTTATTCGAGCTTTGCTTAGATTAAATTATGCTGTTTTACCAGCTTGAACTTAAACAGAGAACCAAATAAGCATGGTGATTGTCATTGTACTGGAGCCTCACCAGTGAAGTTTAAAAAATTCCCCCCAAACACTGTGTATTAGACATTACATTTGCATAGTAAAATACGAATCTGAATGCACTTCTGTGGCTGACATGCAAGTTATTTTAGTGATTTTATGTTGAAGCAAACAGAGCGTGAAAAGAACTTGATTCCTTAGATGACATAGTTGGCTGTTTTGCTACACTATTATGATGACTTTGGTTATTAGAGTAGTCTTCGATTATGCTCAAGAATTGTTTAAACCTAACAACTAAAACTAAAAATGCATATTATATATATATATATATATATTTGAGGATGTGTATATTAGAAATTGATTTATTAACTTTTTAGTTGTTTTCAAGTGGGGACGTATATGGGTAGTTTTGGATAAAGACCTATTCATATCAGCAATATCATATATTACGCAAACATGATGGGAAAGTGAACCCACCTCTCATCCCAGAACAGCCAAGTTTGTTATAGATGGTGACAGTAGATCTTGTTTGTTTCTTTGGAAAAGGGTGGAAATAAAGAATCAAGATCCGCTCTTTATATTTCCTCCTTGCATTTTTTACTTGCAGGGTCATTGGGCTCACTTTTAGGCTCAATTTTGATAATTCGAACCGTTCATATTTTAAGATTTGTTCAGTATATCATACCTGTAAAAAATTAAGTTGATCGGATATCAGAAAGTATGTGTTCGGAAAACTTGAATTAAAAATTATTTTTTTAAAGAATTTAATAAATAGTTTTCCGAACACATGTTTTTTGATATCCGATCAATTTAATTTTTTACAGGTATGATATACTGAACAAATTTTAAAATATGAACTGTTCGAATTATCAAAATTGGGCCTAAAAGTGAGCCTAATGACCCTGCAAGTAAGAAATGTAAGGAGAAAATACAAGGAGGCGATCTTGATTCGGAAATAAAAGCTGAGAAATAGAGTGAAATTAATTATACCAAGAAAAAAATTAGCTAATCTCAAATAAAGTCGAATAGGAATCTGCCACACAAGCATTGGGAGTATGGGTTTGGTTGATCGATACAAGACTTGCTAACAGAAGTCCCATTTTTTTAAAACTTGTTTACTAACTAGTGTATGTCCGTATCTAAAGGTACGGTATAAATAATATTGAGATTAAAATATAGTTATAATTTGTACATATCATATTAAAATTTGTAGAGTCTGTAGCACCCGATAAAAGTTCAAGTCAGCACTCTTACCATTAGTTTGTGGCTAACACCTAATACATTGGTGAGTGTCATAGTACCCCGAACCACAAATACCTGATTAAAATAATATAATACACAGAACATAAATACCATAACCTCGCAAATAGTAGTCTTTTGAAATTCTTTACAAATTAAGATACGAAAATCAAATATTTTGAAATAATTTTCCAATCAAGATACAAAAAGCATTGAAAAACTAAATGCATCATACCATAAAGAAGAAATCAACTATATGTCATAGCATCCCAACAATAAATGGTAAAAAAAATAATTCCTGCAACTCATCTGGCTTGTCAAATTAATGTGAAAATCATCAATTACATCAACTATAGAATACAAATTGTTGCTTTACAAAATAGTCAAATTAAAAAGATTTTAAAGTCATCTAATAGCCATCAAGTATTGCTAGTATCAATACTTGAAAGAAAATGTATAGTAAGAAGAGTAAATTAAATAAGAAAAATTATAAATAGGTGATAACTTCACAAAATATTTAAAAACTCATTGATTTGTAATTTTCTCAATGAAATAAGAAGATGAGTAAAGAGAGCCTATATAACAGTTTGGTGCAAATCTCCATCATCCTATGAAAACAAAAGAGAACATAATTTTATACAAAAAGGGGAAAAAAAAAGTGTATACAAAGTAGTGACAACTGAAATGTCCAAAGTAGTGACAACTTACATGTCTAAAGTAATAAATCAACTTACATGTCCAAAGTAATAACTCAGTTGTAAAAGATCAAGTCAGCACTTTTAAATCAAACTTAGCTATATTGGAAATGCAAAAATATAGGGGAATAAAAGGCTTCACAAAAATATTTGAAATGCAACAAAGTCCACATAGGTGGAAAGCTTTATCAAAAAGTGGGTCATAGCTATTGTCTGCTTTAAAAATGTATATACTTTACAAAAATATGTGTTTGATAATGTCTTCAAATTTGTTCTTTTCCACAATTCTTACGAACGCCTCATTAATTTCCGAAAGGTCTTCATAACAAAATTTCAAGGTAAACAATATTTGTAGTAGAATCTGGCTCATCATTAGGGAGGAGAATACTTATTCGATCGAAAGATGTGCATCTGGATAATGCCACGTATAGTTGCCCATGACTAAAAACAGCTGTACGCAAATCAACCCCAACAAATTTCACAGATTGTCCTTGAGATTTGTTAATGGTCAAAGCGTATGCCAATCGAACTGGAAATTGACGTCTTGTCATTGGGAAAGGCATTTCTGCAGAAGACGGTGTTAGTGATATCCTTGGTATAAATGCCAAATTGCCAAACTTCTCTCCAGTTAAGATTCGAGCTTCAATTATGCGAGTGTCGCACTTTGATACCATCAATCTTGTGCCATCACACAATCCATCTTTTGGTGCAATGTTTCTTAATAACATGATAGGACAACCCACTTTCAACTCTACCTTAAAAGCTGGTAGCCCAGGAGGATCTAATGAATTTAAAAACTCATTAGGATATCTGGTTGTAATGGAAGGATCAATTTCATCATCTTTAGCCATTTTATCTGCAGCAAGATACGTATATGTATTCCTTGAAAAAATATTCAACGCAGCAATATTGATAGCACTGACATCATCATTTCGTGCAGAAAGAATTGTACGTTCCGTTAAGAATGATGGGGTTGATGTATTTGCCACATCTAATTAGGATAAACTGCTGAGAGTAATTCCTTTAGATCCTGGCATTTGTGTATTATTGATGGAATTTTAATGATTTCTTGCATATTGGTTCCAACCTAATAAATAAAATAAAATAAAATAAAATAAATTAAAAAAAATGGTGTAATCAAAGTATCCTCAAATGGTATAATCAAAGTTCGAATGAGTATTACCTCCGTCAAGAATTTTGCAAAAATAGCATTTCCAAGGTTTGCATGATTCAAGCGCATATTCAAATCTAAAGATAAAACATGTAGATCCTTCCACAAAACAGAGTGTCTCAATGATGCATTCACAATTTGCTCACGAACTCCTTTGGTTATAACTGGTAAGATTTGTCGAAAGTCTCCACCAAGAACAACAGTGATACCCCCAAATGGCTTTTCACAATCACAAATATCTCGAAGTGTGCGATCAATCGCCTCAACACAATGTCTATGTTGCATAGGAACTTCATCCCAAATTATGAGTTTTGTTTCTCTAAACAATTCAGCCTGTAATGATTGCTTGCTAAACCCACAAACTGAATTTTCCAAGACATCCAATGGAATGGAAAATGTTGAATGTGCAGTGCGACCTCCTACTAATAGCAATGATGCAATTCCAGATGAAGCCACGGCAACAACAATATGGCCAAGGCTGCGACATTTTAATGCAATCATATTGTACAAAAATGTTTTCCCCGTTCCAGCACCGCCATTCAAAAAGAAAATAGTCCCTTTACTTTCAAAGACTGAAGAAGTGATTGCGTTATAAGCAGTTCGTTGTCCATTATTGAGGCGATCAATAGTAATTTGCACATCTGTCTGTTGTGCCTCATTATGTAGTTGTTGATGTTCGAATATCAATCGGTTACCAACTGTTGCACTCCAATTTGCTGTAGGTTGTGACATGGGCGGGAAGTCAATTAAACTCTTTCCTGATTCTTGAAGCATTTGATTCAAAAGATAGAAACCATAATCTTCAATTTGAGCCTCAGTTGGGTTAGAAATGGCAAACAATGTACGAAACTTATGTGCAATATCATCATAGATATGCATTGAAAATTGATTCCATAACACATGTGGTTGTAGTGGAAAACATTGGGTCAGAATAATACAAAACAATCTCCTTAATTGATATCCGGTTTTCATAACTGCAGTCTCTTTCAGGCACTGTATCCATTCTTCATCATCTTCTAAGAGTAGCCCGTAGGGCATTTTGTTTTGATGTTAACATGTAATACTTATGTAATGAAACTCAATGAAATAAAGGAATGTGGTTAGTTTATATGTAAATGCTTGTCTTATCTGATGGGTTTAATGTTATTATTTTGAGGGCGTTACAAATTGCATATCCATGTTCTCTTGGTTTCCATCTATGTTTTGACTTGAGCCAAACAAAATGTTGCGGAAATTCTTGGTAAGTGAATTGGCATTCATTTTCATTGGAAGCACAATAATCAAAAAAACCAGTAAGAGTCGTTTTTTTTGCGCAGCTCTAGAAAGAATCATTCCAATGAGTCATTAGGATTAAAAAGAACACGATGCATTCCAAGTAGATGAAGTGCCAAGCGAACAACTATTGGCATCTCTGCATGCAAATGATGATCGAATATTCGCCAAGCAGCTTCTGGTGGTCCAATATATCTCGCATCAAGATATTGTTAGATCTCATTAATCAATCCCAAAACCATTGTTGTGCGATCATAACTCTTGTAAATATACTTATGTATATACTTAACACATCTCACTCAAGCACAAACTTCTACATTTATATGACAGTTGAACCGTTTAGAAAGATATGCATTGTATGGTACCACATCCCTGTTATCAACTTCCTGTTATCTCACAGTATATACTTGACCACTATTGCGACGACGATAGATTGGATATCCATCTTGGTCCATAGTTGTTGATTCTACAAAGGCTCGAGGGTATTTCTTAGTACATCTACCATTTTCCATACATGGTGCTTGGGGATTTCGAGCACCACATGGTTCATATACCATGCAACATTTGATAGTTTCAAAAAGTGTAGGATCATCTTTTGGATTTGGAAATTCTGCACAAACTAATTTGTCTACTTGAGCACATGTTCGAATTTTGTCTGGACCTTTAAGAAAGAGAAGCGCATGCATATGTGGTAGGCCTCGTTTTTGGAATTCAATTGTAAAAACATGTGCAACTTTATTACCGAACACTTTGTTTGTCTCTATCTCCTTTATC